CGAGCCGTTGTTGGACGGCCCCGAGGCCCGGCGAGGCCCCCCCAAGGCCGAAAACGGCCAAAAACCCGCCGCCCTCTTTTTTTGACGACGCGATCATGCTTGTCGTGTGCTCTCCGCCCGCGAGCCCCCCCCGCCCGCGAACGACGACGACGACAACGGCGAGCCGCAGCGATGACGACGACGACGACGACGGCGAGGCGCCCCGAGGGGCCCAAGACTGCGAAAAACCTCCGCCGCGACTTCTGCGAGGCGCCCGCGGTCGGGAGTCGCTCTCCGCGGGCTCCTCGCGCATCGCGAAGCCGCCGTGCGCCATGCCGCGGGCCGCGGCGCCCCGCGGCGGCGGCCGCCGCCCCCGCGCAGGGGCGGCGCGCCCAGGCCGGGCGCGGGTCTCCACATCCAACACGGGGAGGCCTTTTTTCGGGGGCGGCCAGTGAGGGGCAACGACACCTTACAGGGCCTCGTGGGGCCTCCTGGGAGGCCCTCGCCGCCACGGCTGGCTGCGCCCCGACACCTTCTAGGCCGAAGGCGCCCCGTATGGGCGAAGTCTGGGGAGGGTAGCGGCACCGGTGCGTTCTTAGGGGGCAACGATAGGGGGGGGACAGGGATAGGGGGCGATGTATCGACCTGGACTCGGCGATGTATCGCCTCTGGATCGGCGAGATAGGCCTCCGAGAGTGAGTCCGCACCTTCCTGGGCAGGTTGGGGCATCTCCGTGCTGCTAGAAGTGCCCTTGGCCCAAGGTGCTCCCAGGATTTCCAGGGAGGCCGCCACGGCCTCCAGAGCACCCCTCACGAGGCCTAGAGGGCTGGCTCCAGGGGTTCCGAAATTGAGCGAAAAGCTGGGGGTACAGGCCTCGGAACAAATTAGCGAACATTCATGCCAAATTCATCTGTCAACGCCTCCCCCTCCCCACAATGTTCAAAGTTGGCGGTGGGTCTGATGAGATGCACTTCGACCGCAGTCTCCCCCGCGCGTGCCAACATTGAGCTTGGGGGGGGGAGGGGGAGTGTTCAGTAATTGTTTCCCTCTACCGTACCTTGGGCCAGGGGCACCTTCAGCACCCCCCGACAAGAGGGGGGTGTCCAAGAGAGGGGGGGCACAACTCATGGCCGGCGGCACGTGCGCGGCCCTGGGGGGAGGGGGGGGGCAGGGACGAGACGAAACAAGAAGAGGAGGCGCCATGAAGTCTGTGGAGATTTCATGCCCCCCGCCATGATATCCCCCCCTCTTCGATTAGGTCGGGCGTGTACCACCACAGGCGGATTTGTTAGGCGAACAATGAAACATACCAGAAGAGTGCCCCAACAATGCTCAAACATGTTAGAAACATCGTCCCCAGGTTTGAATATCCCTCCTGTAGAGGGACAAGCCCGACTTAACCCTACAGCCGGGCTGCTGAAATAAGGAACGCTGAATACGGAACGAAGCCCCTCTGTGGCTTCAAAAAAACCTGGGTGTACGAGAAGGGCTAGAGGAACAACCACGGAAGGACGTAAGGAACATCGAGCCCCTTCCGAATGAAAGCTGTTCCTTATTTCAGCGTCTTGGCTGTAAGACATCACCCCCCTCTCTGCCGCCCCCGATCTCTGGCGGGCCCCCCCCCGCGGTGCTGCCCGTCGGCCGCGGGGAGGTCGAGCAGGGGATCGGCTGTAGACTTGCTCTGCCCCGGAAGGAACTTTCAAGGAGGCAGCTACCCAGACCCCTCGGGTAATGAACAAAAACATGGCGGGATTTTTTTTGGTATTTTCGGCCTCTGGGGGCCCTTACTGGCCCTCGAGACCGTCAATAAACGACTCAGAATGAAAAACTGGTCCAGGGGAATGGGTCGAGACCTCCAAGGGTCGACGAAATAAAAATGATCATGACGTCGGGGGTCTGGGTACTGGGAGGTCTTCGTCGGAAAAGTTCAGGAGGATTGAGCCCCATTGGGGGTTGCGCCGGAGTGGGCCTCGGATCCAGCGGGGTTAAACCGGATGAATCGGGACTCAGCGGGACTGAGCCGGAGTTCGGACCAGGGCAGGATCAGAATTTGACCTCCCAGGAGTTGTATCCGAAGGAAGTGTTCGCCGACTCCATGAGACATGCGTGGGGTGCCTGTAGATCTACGAATGTTCTACGCATGCCTCGACGGCGAATTCCAATTGTTTGTGAGCCAGGTCTGGAGACGACCCCCCGCTCGAGGAGGTCCCGCCACGCCCAGGAAAAGGCAACGGCTCGAGCCGGAGGCCAGCGGGCGCTCGCGTGCTCGTGCGCGCTCTGTTCTGGTCCAAGAGCGGCGCCTGGTGCTCCCAAGCTCCTCGCTGGAAGCCTCCCCGGCGGCAGCGCAGGGCGCCTCCCAGAGGATCCCAGAAAAAGGCCTCCAGCAAGGCCCGAAGAAACGAACAGCAGTGGGGAACCGAAGGGCAGTTACCTGGACAGGCCCAATGGTTCTACGACGCACGCCGCCAAACAGGTGCCGCTGGCGTTCCGTGCGGTGGCTTTCCTGCGCGCCTGCGCTGTAATGAGCGCCTGCGAGGAGGTTGCCGTGCCGTGCTGTGCCGTGCGCTGCCGGGCCCGTGCGCCGCTGCCCAGCGGTGCTGGAGCGAGGCGCCTGCGCCGCGCCGTGCCCAAAGCTCAGAACGGCGTGCCGTGCCGTGCCGTGCCGTGCCGTGCCAGCGTGCGGTCCCGCGCCGCGGTGCCACGGGGTGCGCAGGCCGTGCCGTGCCGAAGAGCGTGCCCGCGCGCCGTGCCGAAGGGTGCTAATTATGTGGGGTGCGGGAGCGGGGTGCCGTGCCGGCGCGCCGCGTGCCGTGCGGTGCCGAAGCGCCGGAGTGCCGGCAGCGTGCCGCGGCAGGACGTGCCCGCGTGCCGCGCCATCGTTCTGAGCTGCGCTGTGCCGTGCCCAGCTGATATATATATATATATACACACCCACACATATATATATATATACACACCCACACACATATATATATATATACATATATATATGAGAGAGAGAGAGAGAGAAAAAAAAAAAAAAAAAGAGAGAGAGAGAGAACACCGCGTGCCGCGGCAGAACGTGCCAGCGTGCCGCGCCGTGGTTCCAGGCTGTGAGGGCTGCGCCGTGCGGTGCCGTGTCCGCGGGCTGTGGCGTGCTCGTGCTCCTGCGGCACTGGCCGCCCTCGCCGAGCAGAACGACTTGGATGTTGACTCACCACGGATGTGCTCATGCAGCGTTGCTGCTAAGAGTTCCTTTGCACGGTGACAAGGATTTCATGTTGCTCCCGATGCCTGCCTGTGTCAGATCGCCTGGGGGAACGTCAGAGAGTCCCAAGAAGACCCTCTATGACGGCCCAACACTGCCCCCAGAGAGAACACACCCATTGCCCCTAGACTGTCTCATAACCATGCAAGGCGGCCCAAGAGCGCTCCGCGAACGACGGGACGAGGTCGAGTTTTAAAACTCACGCGAACTCAGATCGCGCGCTGAACCAGCGTGGATCTCGCATTAGGTCGGGCACGTCCTCCTACAAGCAGATTTGAGGCAAAAGCTCAAATATTTCGTTTTAAATGCAAATTCCATAATATTCGAAAAATGAACAATATTCCTCCTGTAGAGGGACACGCCCGACTGAAACCTCGCACTTCCCCCAAAACCCTCCGACGACGGCCCACCGAGCCAGTACGTCCCAAGACGGCCCCACGAGGCCTCCGCGAGACGCTCTAGACGGCCTCCAGCGAGGCCCGACGGAGCGCAATCGATGGAACACACGAGTGGAGCTACATTCCCCAATCAGTGCTTGCAGGTCCTATGGCGAAACTTCAAACATTTGGCGAAACTTTCCTGCCGATTTTGGTGGCCGGCTGGATTCCTGGGTTCCTGGCTCTGGGTTCCCAGGTTCCTGGTTATTGGTTCCGAACCGATTTCGGTGGGTTCCACCTTCTCGGGTTCCCGGGTTCCCGGTGCATCTCTCTGTCGATCCCTTTATCGATCCCATTTCGAACCATCCACTGATTGGGGATTTTCCCTTGTGGGACGTTTTTCGGTCCCGTGGCCTTCATCACTCCGGGAAAACTTCAGAAATCCCCGAGAGACCCCCAAGACGGCCCAGACCTGCCTCAGGCGAGCACGCAGATGGCCTCAATACTGTTAGAGAAATCTCCGAGACGGCCCAAGAGGGCTCCAAGACGGTCCCACGACCGAGGGAACGAGGTCGAGTTTACGACCTATGCGAGTTCAGACCGCGCGCTGTCCTGGCGTGCGTCTGCGACTCAACCTGCTTCACGCAGTGCTGCTGCGCTGGCACGGTGGCGGGGTTAGCTGCAGGCAGCTGGAAACGAGAACAATGGGCGCTACAACGTCGCAGCGTGTAACCCGCGCGGGCCCAAACAACGACACTGTCCACAATTTGCGATGCAACCTATTAGGTGCGATACATGCGGTGCAATCGCAATGCGCAGGCTTAAAAACAGGAACTCGTAGGGACCCAGCATGCCATCCAGGAATCTGGACGGCCACCGCAGACAACAAGCTTCGCGCATGGCGAGAGGGGGGCCGAGCCCCAGGAAACCACATAGTCGGCACACCACACAAGACATCGGCCTGCGAGCAGGTGCCCCCAGGGGGAATTTCTCATGCGCGCCGATGGCCCCAGGGACCCATAGAAGCCTTGGGGCACCTCAGCACCCTGAAAGATCAACGAAGAACGTGTCCCAACATCTTCTATACCACCATTTTGTATCGCATTTCTCAGCTGTAACAACCACGGGGGCCCACACAACCATTAACAGAGACATGTGGCACTGGGCCCAATGCAGGTGGTGGGGGCCAAGATGATGTAAAGGTATTGTCAGGCGTCCAAGCGGCATTCACATAATGTGCTGCACCCCCAAAGCCAGAGGAGCGACGGGGCACAAGGGATGTGCAGGAAGCGACGGGAATCTAGGCGGTCTGCGTAGAAAGGAGGGCACCCATGCTCAGTGTGTGTGTGCGCGTGTACGAGTCACAATCCATAGGGACTTAAAATCATTTATAGAAGCCCAAAGCGGCATGTAACATCGGACCTGAACAAAACAAAAGCATCCTTCAAGAACGTGAGAGCCCCTCCGCCCGCCGAAACACACGGAACATCCGAGGGTACCCTCCCGTGGGATGCACAAGAACGTCTGACCAGCACGAGGAGCACGAGGGCACCCTCCCCGAACCGATCGCGATCTCAAACCTCCACCCGACCGTATTGCGATCCCTTGGGCGCCCGAGTTATCCGGGGTAACTCGGGTCCGGGGTAACTCGGGTTTGGATTCCCGAAAAAAGAACCCGAGTTAGCCCTGACCCGAGCTACCCCTGATGATGTGGGGCTCTGGACGCCCGAATTATCCGGGGTAACTCGGGTCCGGGGTAACTCGGGCTCGGATTCCCGAAAAACGAACCCGAGTTAGCCCTGACCCGAGTTACCCGTGATGATTCGGGCCTCTGGACGCCCGAATTATCCGGGGTAAGTCGGGTCCGGGGTAAGTCGGGTTCGGAATCCCGAAAAACGAACCCGAGTTAGCCCTGACCCGAGTTACCCCTGATGATTCGGGGCTCTGAGCAAGGGCCTTGGAAGGCCATGTCGACACTTTACGAGCGGGGCGCGGCCGGCGAAAGTGGCCAAGGATGGGCCGACGGGGAAGGATGCAAGGGTACCCTTGGAGAGTTGCTCATCCCTACTGTGCGGGCTGACTGTAACACGTATACATATTTAGATATTTAGGCGCGCAACTAAACAAGCACTGTTGCGTCCATGCCGAGCAAGAAAGGCAACACCGCTCGAACTGATACGTAAAGGTGCTGGATTGATCCGAGCTTCAGGCGCCGACAACAATCAGTTCCGCAGTAACCGCTCATCCACTCTTCAATGATTCTGCGACCAATCACTGTGGGCAAAACCTCCAACAACGGAGCATAGTGTTCCGCTCGGCCTCGATTCGGCTGTCTTCTGCACCAGCTGCTTTGAGGCGTTCAGAGTGGCACGTATTGGTTGCTGGCAGAGGTAAGGACGTCCTCAGGTACGAACACCATCCGCCACTCACGCTCCATGGTCGTCTTACCGTCTCTCACCAGCTGGAGGAGATTATCGTAGAACGAGCGAGGGTGGTTATGCAACCTGGCGCGAGATACTACGAACTGAGCACAACAATCCAAGCAAACTCGCCGTGGGAAGGTATTGTTAAACGCCGCCTTGAACACATGGAGCCAGTTCTGCTTCAGCAGAGTCTCGACCTCGTCTCTCGCCGCCACCTCGATGTTTCGCGCAGGCCTTTGGTGACTCACGCAGAAGTTGAGCGGCTTGGCGCCACCGCCGTGGTTCAAGTTGTGATACCCTACCGCCTGCGAGAAGCACGTGCTGTTCAATATTCTCTTCATGCTCCTCCGGACAACAGGAGACACCAGTGGTAATGAGATAATGAGGCCCCGTCCTTCCCCTTGTTGTTTTGCCTCCTCCCCTCCTCTTTGTCATGCTGTCCCTTGGGGGCGAAACTCTCCGTTTGGCGCCGGAGATGTGGTCTTCGACGGGGGGGGTACAGTCGGGGCGTTGACCAAAGGAACCCTAAATAAGGAACGAGGCCCCTTTTTTCCATAGGTTAAATTCGATCTCCTATCGGAAACAAAAGGGAAACCTGAGGCAAGCTGTGAAACACTTAAGGAACGCGGAGCCCCTCCCCAACGAAAAGGGTTCCTTCTTTAGGGCCCCGACTGTATTCCCAAGCATCCTCCGATCTGTCGTTCTCGATCCGCGGCCCCGGAGCCTCCGACCCCTTCCCGGGGCACAGCCCTGCGCCCAGGATCCGATTTGGGTGGCCCTTGGGTCGACCACGGGCCCCAGGGCCCGCAGGCGGGAAAAAACGCCCGGACTGAAACGAACATATACCATACAGTCGGGGCGCTGACCTAAGGAACCCTAAATAAGGAACGAGGCCCCGTTTTCTCACAAGTCAAACATCGATGTCCCATGGAAAACCTCAGGAAGACCTGAGGCAAACTCTTAAACAATCAAGGAACACCGAGCCCCTCCCCAACGAAAAGGGTTCCTTCTTAAGCGCCCCGACTGTAGGGTTTCCCGGAGCGTTCCCGTCCGCACTGCCAGCCCATCTCCGGGGCCCTGCCCACCCTCCCCGCGACTCCGGCTGCCCGCGAGCTCCTGGGCGCATGCCAGGCCGACTCGTGACCGTGGAGGAACACCACGGCCTCGGGGAGCCTGCCGCTTTGCCAGATCGGTGAAAGATCAGCGGACGGGTGCGAGTGACGGTTTGCCAAGCGGTGCCGATCCACTCGTCGGTCGTCGGAGTGCTGAGCGAAGGGGACTGGAGCACAAGCTTATCAGAGCCACCGAGGAAGGGGAGGAGGGAGGGAGGATGGGGAGCCTGTCGTAATTATCGACGATGTGCGTCAGATAGGCCAGGGCCTCGTCGCCAAAGTTCGGGATGTCCACGAAGCGGATCTCGTTCGCCCGGAGCGCGCTCGACGCCGCCAGCTGCCGCTGCGCCTCCTCCGCGGCCTTCAACTTCCCCGTCGGGTGCTTGAAGCACTCGCCGCTCTCACTGAAGCAATGAGCCAGGCTCCCGCACACGAGGACATCACACACGGGGACGATGTCACATCAATAGGGCAAGTTCAACCTACCCAGCTCTACGATCTCTTCCCTCAAGGTCAGAACGAATATTGGCGGACGGCTTCCCTGGTACATCCCTGGCGCGGGCTAGGTTCACCATCCAAACAGCGCGCTGCTTTGCTATGCTACAGCTTTGCAATGCTGTGCATCGCACCTCGTCTGCGTGTGCATTCGCCTGAACGTTTCACTGCCTGCTCTTTATTCCCCAACTATTCCTTAAATAGCTTGTGTGTAAGGAGCCAGTCCAACTATTCAAAATAGCCGAATGCGGGGATCGCTGGATCTGGAATCGGTCGGGCGACCTGGTCTCCCATAGTCTCCCGTGTCCTCCCGCGGTCCCCCGTGGCCTCCCATTGTGTGCGTTCAGCTTGTACACGTAAACCTAACACTATTCGTTTGAACATTAGTTGCTTCGCATTCGTAATCACATTCCAGGTCATAGTATCAGAAAGAAATGCGATTACGAATGCGAGTAGGAATGCGAGGGATTATTTGTATACCCTGGTATGATCAGTTGTGGCCACTCTAGGTGTCTCCGTCTGGGCTCCTGTCTCTGGCCCACGTTTCAGGTTTGTAGTCAAGAGTGTGATTACCAAGCTCTGCCCTGCGTGGCATTGCGGCATTGCCTATGAACATATTGTTCATTGCATCGTTTTGCTGTGCACGGCACCGCAACTGCAACGGTCACGCACTACATCACAATGCATTGCAGCAGCACCGCGCTTCAAAACACCGCGGTGCACAAAACGACACACGTCGGGCCACGGGCCCCGGATGGGCAACATACACCTTGATACTTGATGGGAACACGGATGGGCAACATACGGATGGGCAACACGTTTCGGAAACGGCCGAAGAAGGGCCGGATGAGACAGGACTCGGGCCGCTGCATCCAGTAGGAGCGGCATATGAGAAGAAGAGAATCCCGTCGGGCATGAAGAAAGAATTGCGATCGCTCGGGGGACCAAGGTCAGCCCGATCCAGGCCAACCCGGACGTGTGCCCAGGCAAGGAGTTGAAGTGCAGCCACTGGAAGGCAACGACAGAAGAGACGATTGTCTGGTCGAACAAGGGGAGAGCGAGCTACGTGACTGCAGCTGGTCAGGCTGGGAAACCATGGATGATGCGCAAGAGTGGGAACAAGAACAGCCGCGCCCTGTGCCTTGCACCGCCTTCCTCGACTGGAAAAGTTGAGCAGCCGGCCACACGGGTCGAAAATCCTGTTCGGCGAGCCAACGTGCGCAAATAGCCGAGACTATGGACCCGGCGTGAGGTGCGAGCCGCGCCAGGACCCACGCCCACCGGCCTGACTCGCTCGACGCGAACCCCCGACTGAAGACGACCCGCGACGGACCGAGCAGAGCTGGAGGGGCCTGCTGCTGCGGTCTCCGATCGTCAACGAAAAGGTAAGCACTCCGGTCGGGAACGGTGCCGAGGCGTTGGCCCTGCTGATCGGGAAGCAGGCCAACGATATGGTGGAGACGATCCTCCGCCACACAGGCGCAGGGGACCGAGTGGTACTGCTCGGCTCCAATTTTGACTCGCAGCGGATGAATGAGGCCCCGAGGGCATTCGCGCGAGCTGGCGCGAAGGTCGACGTGGTGCTGAACGAGAATCGGGCATTGGCAGAACTGGGTTTAGTGGGACCTGGTTTAGTGATGTGTACTGGGGGACGCCCCCCCCCGCCCCGTTCCACTAACTGGAACTGCCGTCACCCGAACAAACATCACCTACGGCAGACCTGGTTTAGTGTTTCTGGCCAATTTGAGGGCTCCAGGGCCCTACTACTAACCGGGTCTATATCCGAGAGGAGGAGGTCAGTTCCGAGCAAGCGTGCTGGGACGCAGCTGAGATGGTCCGCGAGCTTGTGGTGGACTCGGAGCTCGGCGGATTCGGAGTACTGTTAGGTCGGGCATGTCCTCCTACAGGTTGACTTCGGGCGAAAAATCAAACATTGCCCAAACAGAACAATAATATAACACAACACCGTCCCCTGACTATTTTATATACTATTTGTGCATACGTACTCCTCCTGTAGAGGGACATGCCCGGCTCAAGAGTAATGCGGGCTTTCCACTATCGGAAGTGCATGCAGAGGCGGGGAAGGGAGAGGGGCACCGACAGGAGCGAGGCTGCCCATGCCAAGGTGCTCAGCGCTCCTCCCGACTTGGTGGTCGAAGCAGCGAACTGGACGGTCGCGAGCCGTGGAAATCACGAGCTGTCCTGCCTGCTCGAGCGGTGTCCGAGGAGCGTGGAGACGGCGAACACAGCGCTCCACGCAAGATCGGCGCATGGAGAAGCATTGACCCTCGCAGAAGCCGAGAAGATGACATTAAGAGAGCCCTCTGAGAGGCCGTGACGATGACAAGGAACAAGAAGACAAGAAAGTGAGTTGAGAAGAACCGCCAGCCGTTTGCGTTGCGTGTCTGGCGTCCCCCTGTGGATGTCGTAGCTGACGCCGCACGCTGTCTGAGCGTGGCGTGCGTCCTGGGGTGCGGTATGAGGCCTGTTCAGCCATGCTGCCCGCCGTAGTGATCCCGAAAATCTGCGCTGGCACTACCGCCGGCCAGCCCTAGCGACCCGCCTGCAAGGAGCAATCGCGCCCTCGGCGCTGGCACGGTGCTGTTACCCTCTTCTCCATCGTGGAGCGGTGGAGTGGAGCGGTTGGGGCGGCTGAAAGGGCTGTCAGGAGCAGGGCTTAAGGGCTCCGTCCCCCAGCAACCCTCTCAGCAAGCGGGATGATGTATGAGGTCGTCGTCGCCGTCGTACGGATGTCGACGACGACCGCTGCACTTGTGGCTCAAGGTCGGAGGACCTTGAGTGACCCCCTGAAGACATTGAAACTGTTGGATTTACGGAGGTCTGACCTATTGCCGGAAAGAACAAACATCTTACTCTCGTTGCCATTGTTTTCTCTCTCGTGAGATCTATCTCATTGACAGCCAGACCCGGGATGCTTCCCGTGAGCTCGCAGAGATGCCGGGACTGCGTAGAACTGATGGCTTCATATTTTTGGGACTACAGTACAATAGTTACAAGACTTATTTGATGGGGTTATTCTTGCACATTCGTGGGACTATCTTTGGACCTATTTGGGAACATGTTTGGACCTATTACCTTTTTGATTATTTGTGGGACTAATGATTTTATTCGGATTACTCTGAGATGCATTTTTTGGACGATGTTTGGAATTATCCAGACGTGCACTCAGTCTGACTTAGAAAGTCCGAGCCTTCCGCCCCAAAAGGCCCCCAAGGAGGCCACAGGAGGCGCCCAGGACCCCTAGAGACCCAAAAAGAAGCCCCAAGAGGCCCCCAAACAGCTCCCAAGAGGCACCCAAACTGCCTCCAAGAGGCCCCCGAAAAGCCCCCCACGAGATCCCAAACGAACATCCGATAGGCTGAATGCCCGCAGCCCAGGCACGGTGGCGGGATTGGTCGAAGGCCATTCGATACCATGCGGGCCACTCGCACGCGCCGCCTCGCGCGCGTGTCGAAACCTTTTTCCCAAACCGCTTGTTTCCGAAGGAGCTCAAGACCGATCTGTTCGAATAGATCTATATAGACACAAATAAGTATGAAGCATTGCGTTTGTCCAACAAAAGCTTTGCCGAGTGGCTTGCATGTCCGCGCGGGTGCGCCCCCTCACCACCCATCACTCGTATCATCGCCACCGCATCGCCGCCGCCACTGGCATCGCCAATCGCCTCTTTTGCCTCTATCATCAGCAAACCATCGCCTCCGCCGACCCATGGACAACATCATCGTCACCGTCGCCACCCTCATCGGCTCCATCATTGGCCTTGTCGTCGCCACCTTCACCGTCACCACCACCATCGCTACCATCATCAGCGTTGCCGCCGATGTCGGCATCATCATGCCACTGCGCCCGCCAAGGTTACCCACCCGCGCCGAAGTGCCCGCGCGCCAACACGGACTTTGAGACGGCCAGTTCGGAAGTCCCCAGCAGGCAAGCGCCATCGCGGCCGCGTCGGTTGTGCCAGACCAGCTGGCCGCTCCGCGCGTGAGCGTGTGTCCGCCAACGCGGTCGCAGAGATGCCCCAGCAATGGCCAAACAGTCACCACAATCGCGGCCGCCTGGGCTTTGCGGTGCAAGTTGTGGGTGGGAGGGTGGGATGCTTGCGCGAGCAGTGGCGTTGACAGCTCATGAGCTGACACCAGACTAGTTGCACCATTTGGACCGTGTCGCATGCTATACACCACGTGGCCCACGCCACCTGGCTCACACCACCACGCCAGCCAATGCCCAATAATCACCACAATCGCGGCCGCATGGGCTTTGCAGGACAAGTTGCGGGTGGGAAGGTGGGATGGTTGCGCGGGCAGTGTAGTGGGCGACATCAAGTTCTGCAAGGTGGGCTGCGGCACAGCTCACACAACATAGGCTGCACTGCGGTAGGTTTCCCTCTGGGAGGGAAGACCGAATGCCCCCCAAGGCTATCGATGCACACTGGGAAGGTACAGCGGTACAGCTCACGTACGATTGTCGCCCACCACTGTTTCTCCAGGTAAGCTCATACCATCCCAGGTCGCCTGACACTGGCCCCACCTAAACCCTTCCACCGAATACGATGTGCGTGAGATCGCTTACCACAGAAACAAATGTGCTTCAACACGCCATTGCAACAAACTGCACACGGTCCACTCCAGCGCGCGCACGTGCTGAAATCATATGAAGCACATTTGTCTGAGCGTTTCAACATAAAAGTCGTTAGGGCAACCAGGTGTTCCATCACAGATCTGGCAGCTTTTCTGTCCACGCTCACTTTCTGACACCATGGGGGAACAGTGCGATTTTAGCGATCTCGTCCAGAACCCGCATGTTCACCTCACCACGCGTTGCAGCACGAATCCGTATCACATCAAAACATGCGGGACACATGCGGACCACGCACGTGCGTGCCGCCACGCGCGCGTGCCGAAATCTTGCCCAAACCATGTCCCTGATCATTGTCCCCCGAAGTTTGTCAAAACAGATCTCTTCAAATCATCTAGGAAGCCAGAAATTTGTTCACCAACATCAGGCCGAGCTCTTGAATGTGTGCGCGCGTCTCCTCCCCACCACATGCATCGACATCGCCGCAATCGCATCACAGCTGGTAGCGTCATCACCAATCACCGCCATTGGCGCCATCACCAACCACTCGTCTTCATCACTGACACATGGACATCACCACCGCCATCGTTGTCACCAACATCGGCGCCGTCGTTGGCCGTGCCACCGTCATCGCCACCATCGCTACCACCATCGCTACTATCGTCATCGTTCCCGCTGTCGTCCACGTCCTCATGAGATCGCGCCCGCCCGAATCTCTTGACCCGCTCTGGAGCGCCCGCGTGCCAGCGCGGCCCCCGAGACGCGCTGGGGAGTTCCGACCGACAACCGCGAACGCGGCCGCATTAACTGTGCCAAGAAGGCTGACCCTCCCCGCGCGCGAGCGTGCGCGCGCCAGCGCGGCCGCAGGGATGCTCCGGAAAAGGCCAGGCGGTCAGCGCAATCGAAGCCGCAGGGGCTTCGCAGTGCAAGTTGTGGGCGGGAGGGTGGGAGATGACTGCGCGAGCAGTGGAGATGACAACGCATGAGCTGGCAACAAACTAATTGCACCACTTGGATTGCGTCGCGTACTCTACAACACGTCACCCACACCGCCTAGCTCATACCACAACTATTTCACCGCAGAGCTTGCACCGCATGGCTCACACCACGTAGTTTGCACCACTCCTATTGCACCATACAGCTTACAAACTCACACCACGTAAGGCCACACCGCATATATCACATTATGTAGTAGCTTGCACACCCACAATGCAACACCTCACTGTTTGGGTTTCACGTTGGCAAGCCTTTTGGTTTGGAATGTATCAATTTGCTGCGCATGCCAACACATCATGATTGCCTTGCCGTGCGTTGCTTTGCATTCAGGTGCCCTCCGGCAAACTTAACTGAACACTGCATTCCAAATCAATGTGCCCCAATTCAACACGCAAGCAGATCACAGCAAAACACATCAACGGCCGTAAATGCAATGCGCTGCGGTGCAACACATGCCAACGAAGCGTAGACCAATTTTGCTTGACCGCACCTTACTTGCAAACAACTTATGCATCCTATCTCGGGTCGGGCCAAGTTTATATTTCACAGCGTTGGCGTGCAGCGCAGAGAGAAGGAATACTGCGCAGGCAAAGACGTGGGCGCAGGCAAAGGAGTGTGTACTGTCCCCGTGTGCCGATGTCCTCGTTTACAAGGTCCTGGATGCGTCTGTCTCGTCGCGCTGCGGTTGTGCACGTAGACGGTCGTGGGGACCTCCAGAAAGGGGCCAACGAGCCACTGAAAGCTCCCCAGAGCCTCTAAATTCCTCCAGCAGCGTCTGGAAACCTAGGGATCCCACAACGAGGGCGTCCGACAGCCTCCGAAAACCTTCGAGGGCCTCCGAGAGCTCCGGAACACCGTCGACAAATTCTTCGAACACTTTTCGAACACCCGCCCAGGACAGCTTCTGGGCACAGTCCTGGATCCACTGATTGAGCCGCGTCCAGCCGTGGCGACGTAGGAGGTCTTTGAGACCCAAAGCAGGAAATTGCTGCTGCTACTGCTGATGATGATGGTGATGAGGATGAGGAGGAGGAGGATGGTGATGATGATGCTGCTGCTGCTGATGATGGCGATGGAGATGGTGATGACGATTATGATGATGATTATGATGATGACGATGATGATGATGACGATGACGATGACGAGGAGGAGGAGGCGGAGGAGGAGGAGGAGCGGCAGTGCATCAAGGAGGAAGAGGAGGAGGTTGAGGTGGAGATGGAGAAGAACGACGAACACGACGGATGGCGACGACGGATGAGGACGACGGCGAAAACGCCTCCGACAGTCTCCGAGCGGCCCACCGCCTCCGAGATCTTCGGCAGCCTCCGACAAGAAAACGTCCCATGGCCGACGACAGCGGTGGCAACAATCCGCTCAGAATCGGTCCCCGGACCCATCCCGCGGTCCACCCTCAGGGGGTAGAAAATCCACCCCTGCAGCACTCACCCCGACACGCGAAGCCGTTTAGTAAACGCACCACGTAGGGAATCAGACAGGGCAGGACTGTTTAGGAAACGCCCAGAGCCGTTTAGTAAACGCCAGTTATCGGGTCGGGGTTGTTTTCCTCCCTTGAACCCTGGGCAACTTTCATACCCGATCAATGAATACCATCCTGGGGCCCAACGCGGGCGTCCAGAGGCCGACAGTGGCATCTTGCCTGCTCGAACCTCGAATTCCGATCGACCAGCGATGACGACAACGATAACGACGACGGGGATGAGGAGTGGCGACGACGATGACGACGATGAGTGGCGAGGAGGACAACGACGCCGAAGACTATGAGGACGAGGAGTGGCGACGAGGAAGAAGAGGAGGTGGAGGACGAGGAGGAGGAGAAATAGGACGGCGACGACGTGGACGAGGACGGCGACGACGGGCGGCAACCGACCCCCAAGCCTGCCCTGCGGCGCGTTCTAGCCGGAATTTCGGGGCGGATCCAGCCGTGGCCACGAGGGCACATCCAGAAACCCAAATTGGGCCAAAGACGTCCTTGAACCTCGGTTCTGAATCTCCATCGACGACGACGATCAGGACGTCGAACCAGACGAGGTCGTCGCACACAGGACGATAAGCTCGCCCGCTCTCGAATTCCGAAAACAGTGGTTGCACTTAAGGGTTCTTGCTTGGCTTAGCCATCTCGGGACCAAGGGCGGCTTATGCGGGCGGTGCCGCCCGTCACCATCCGTCGCCGCCGCTCGTCTCGGGACCAAGGGTGGCCGTCGCTGCGCGTGCCGCCCGCCGCCGCCGTCGCCGTCACCGTCGCCGTCGCCGTCGCCACCGTTCGGGGCGAGTGGCGGCTGTTGTGGGCGGCGACGCCCGTCTCCGCCGACGCCGCCGTCGCTGTCGCCGCAACTCGGAACGAGTGCTGCCCGTCGCCGCCGTCGCCGTCGCATAGATTCTGTTTTCAAAAAAAAAAAAAAAAAATCAAGATCCCCCCCTCGGCTTTATCGGTCCACCTTTGTGTGCATTGTACATACGATTCTGCCCCACCGCTCATCCGAAACAGGAAGTCATACCATCCCAGCCGAGCCGCTTTCGACCCCTGGTCATCCTCTACAACAAACAAATGGACGCACGTTCGCTTGTCAAACGCCACAAGTTTCCACCCAACCAATGCAACACATGGGACGAAGTGCGCACGCGCGCGTCGTCTCGCGCGCATGCCGAAATCATTGAACCAAACAATCGGTTTCGGAAGGCTTTCAAAACCTACGGTCCCAAAACAAACAAGAAACACATGGTTTCGCAAAACGGATTTTCAAAAAAAACGTGCGCGCGCGATCCTGCGAATTCTGAAGGAACCCATTGCTTCTGCTTCGACATTTTCGGAAAATGCTACCAAACGGGCTTCGCGTGCGCGTATCGAAATCGTTCGAACGCTCTTGCGCGTGCGCCGTCGCGAGAAACCTTTGCAAACAACGGGACGAAGTGCACGCGCGCGCGGTGTCGCGCGCGCATGCCGAAATCCTTCAAACAACCTCTGGTTTCGTAGCAATTCCAAAACTGAGTGTCGAAAAAACTCAACAGCACCTAGTTTCGCAAACTGAGATTCAAAAAAATCGTGCGCTCGCGCTCTTGCGCATTCTTAAGATACCAAGGGTTTTTCAACATTGTCATTGTATTCTGCCAAACGGGCCTCTGGCGCCGTACGAGGGGCATTATTCGCACGCCCTGGCGCGCGTGCTGGGGGGGCACGATCCGTGTCAAATGAAGCCATGCGGGCCACTTTCGTGCATCGGCCGCGCGCGCCACTTTCGTGCATCGGCCGCGCGCGCATGTCCAACTCTTCCCAAAAACTGCATTACCGACGCGAGGACGCCGTCACCGTCGCCGGCGTGATCAGCATCGGCGCCCGCACTGGCCGCGCCTCCGTCGGTGTGAACATCGTCACCAACATCGTCACGATTATCATGTCTACCGTTGTCGGCGTTGCCATGATACCGCGCCCGCCCAAGTCGCCGACTCGCACTGAAGTGCCCGCTGGGATGCGCCCAGCGGTCAGCCCCACCGCGGCCGCGTCGGCGTCGCCAAACTAGCTGACCGCTGCGCGCGCGCGTGCTAGGGTTGGCGCGGTCGCAGAGATGCACCATCCAACGCTGACCACGCATCGCAATCGCCACCACATGGGTTTTGCAAACCAAGTTGCGGGTGGGTGGGTGGGATTTTTGCAAGAGCATGGGATGTGTCAGCCCGTTTGTTACAATCTTCTGCGCCACATAGATTGCGCCACGTTGATTGCACCGCGTGGAACGCATTGCATTAGGTGGCACCGCGTATGTTGCACCACGTAGATTATCCTTTAAACTCTACCCCCCGACTTTATGGGTCCACTTTTTCGCGTTGCAATGTGCAAGCGAGTCTGACCCATCGTCCAACTTAATATGAGCCCGTACCATCCCAGCCCAGCCGTGTTCGACCCCCCCCCCCCCCCCACCATCCCCCGCAAAACTCGCTCATCCAAGCTCATGGGTTTAAACAACTCCCATGAAGAAATAAGACGATGTGCGCGGGCGTCGTCGCGCGCGCATGCTGACATTAGTCAAAAGCCGGCGGTGTCGCAGGGATGTCAAAACCGAATATGAATATGACTATATACATATATATAGGACTCGCATAGCGGAGTTCCCAAACAACAGAAAAAGCGTTCGCGAGCACTCATGTAAATTCTCAACACAACATTTGTTTCTCAACCTGTTCAGAAAATGCTACCAAGCGGGCTTCGCGCGCGCACGTGTCGAAATCGTTCGAACGCCCTTGCGCGTGCTCGTAGCGATATTCAAACCAAGCGTCGAATAAGCTGTGAACAGAAACACATGATTTCGCATCGCCAGTCTTCAACTTTTTATATATATATATATATGGAAAAAAACGCATCAAAATAAAATGTCTCCAAAATCCCACGGCCCGATTGGTGGGCCAAGTCTGTCCTACGATTCTGTTTCTCCCAACTTCGGGCGACAGGTTGACGGATGCGGGCCCAAGTCCTCCAAATCGCTGTCATGAGGTCTATGCTTCTGTAGCTGGGATTTTCTGACTCCGCCTGCTGCTTTTGCTTGGGAACCAAGGTAGTGACGGTGGCGCGCCTGCGTCGGGAAGGTCCCCACCTCCTCGCAAACGTTGAGGCAACGGGCGACGAGCTCGAGCTCTGGCGGCGGCAGCATTTCAATGTGCCTAGGGAGGGGGGGGGGGGAACCGTCGTATGCGGACGTCGTGCCGTGGCTGACTCTCCTGGCAGCCTGGAAAACATCATCGGCCTTGATGGGTTCGAGCTCCGCAAGAACTTTGGAACCGGGTCGTTTTTGTCGGTTTTGGGTTTTGGTTTTCACTGGGCTCGGTCGTCCATATTTTGGCTAATCGATCGGATTCGGCGTACAGCAATTCAGACGGCCGCCCAGTCCACATGCCTCCATCTGGTTTCCTTATTCTCTGAGGCGACGGAGGAGGATGAGGCGGAGCGTCCAGAAAGGTCCCTTGGTCAATCTACCCTTGGCCCCTCTCACGCCGCTCGCTCGAGCGCCGCCATTCGCCCATCGGCGGGTCGGTGGCGAGGCGAGCAGCACGGGCGATGAGGAGAGTGGAAGGCGGGTCGGGCGCAGCCGAGCCTGGAGCCCGACGCTTCGCGTGCATCAAGCGGCGGAAATGGTGCAGAATGACAATCTGGCGCAAACGCGCCAGAGAGCACCCTGACAGAGCAAGACGGTCAGAGAGGGAAGCAGGGAGGGAGAGACGGGAGACCATCGCAACATTCCAGAGAAAACGACGGCATTCAATATAGTGAGATAGGCTATCTCGGGCGCGTTCGCACCCGAGCAGGCAGCCCTGGTCGACATTCCTTAATCTTGTATCAGTGACCCACCCCCCAGTCCACGTACGGATGGCGGCCATCCGCCAAGAGGGGGGGGGGGCCTTGGCAAGCATTGAATTAATGGCATCCCAGTCGAATGACGCGGAGGCCTCGCGAGAGATCGAGAACCATTTGACGAGGCGGAGACGCAGGCAAGCGATAAGAGAACGAGGAGGGGAGGAAGGGGCGCGAGGGGGGGGCAGATAAATAGCAGGACGGATACCTCTCAAGAGAGCTCGCTGCATTTGGAATCTGGGGCCACCCCTGCCAGCAGCGCCAGATCGTTCTACCCTCTGCGGCGTAGAGCGTTCTCGCGCAGCACGACGCTCGGCCTCAAGGGCCGCCAGCCCTTCGAGGGCCGCCCTAC